CCCCCCGAGTGTTAAACCATTGACATCATGAGGGTAACGCCTGTCGACTGCCACACATAAATGTCATGTTGACTGACCAATGAAATAACACAATTATGCACTAATAATATAATAAAACTTCTCTCACATCAAATAACATACCACATATTTTGGTTGAAAATGTTTCCCATGGCAGAATGCCTGAGACAATGTCTTCCTGTGTGTATTGACCATACTTAATGGAAAACACATATGTGAGGAATCTATAAATATTGCACAAGCTAAGATGGCCAGACACTCATAAAAGGGAAGTTTCTTCCATTCAAAATGGAAGTCATAACCCCAGACCTTTGGTTTATATATATATTGCCATTAAGTAGACCTCAAGTACAGATAACTTGAAGTAATATTATAAACGTGGATTTGATGTTGATGATCACCTTATGTTAACAGATCCCCAACCCAACCGCCAAAACCTTTAACCATGCATTAGAACTTTTTCAGGCATTGTAACTACAGCTTTGGTATAATTGCTTGAGAATAATGTACTTTGGGGAATTTTTATGATGAGTAATGAAGACGAAATACGAATGTAAACAAAATAACAACTGAGTTCTGATAGTAAAAATGCAACAGCGCTAATTAAGACTGGAATTTGAACCCTGAACTTTTGATCGTTGCTCTAACCAAATTAATGAGCTACCAGCTGGTCAAAGGTAGTATCTTCAGACTCAGTCCATCTAGTCATATGAATTGAAACAAAATTAAGGAGGTTACTGTACATACAAAAAAATTAAGAAGATTTCTCTTAGCGTTTCCTGCAGTGAAACTGGGTTCCAAAAGAGTAGTGAAATTTTATTCCCCACAACACAACCATCCCAAAAAGTAACCAGTAAATAAAATCAAAATACCAACATTTTTCTAGATACAAAATCGCCAATCAGAAGAAAAAAAAATCAGTTTGATTATTTCTTTCTGGATATCGTACAGAATTTTTCAACAAATGACAACTCTAAACACCAAGTGTTCCTACACCAACTATATGTATGTCCAGCCCTTCTTTTCAACACTTGTATAATAAAACCATTCAACTTATTTAACACATTTATTGATAAGGCAGCGATTTATCACTAAACTTTAACAGAGATTCTTTAAAACAGCTCCAATTCTTCCTGGTAAAATCAAACATACATGTACATGTGTTAATTTAACTTCTCATGAGTGCCAGCTTAAAAATCCAATAAACAAGACTATAGGGTTTTATTTCATTCAAAACTTCCTGGTGTAACCAATACTTTTCAGTTATCTTTAGAAATTCAGGCAATATTATTTAACTCATTCACCCCTGAAATTTTATAATGAACTATACCAACCATTGAATTGGAGGGGTTCAAATGTGTCTTCCGGGGTGAATGAGTTAAAACATGGATTCTATAAATATCTAATCTAATTCATGTGAAAAGGAAATAAAATAATGCCAAGAAGTGTTGGGCATGGGATAGGGGTTCACTGCAGTTATATGCATTATATCTGGTGGCAGAAAACAAGCCTTTTGTGATGAGTTACACTGCCTGTAACGTCCACAAGAAGTTACAAACGTGAAAAGTTAATGGTAAAGGGGGCCAACAACAAAGTGAAGCACTACCTCATTTGAGCCTTTTTCTCAGGTGATTTAAATCATGCATTTCTCAAAACTAAAATATGTAGCCTAATAACATTTTAACTTACATGTTGAACAAACTGACATTACAGAAAATAGAAACATTCTGAAGATCAGAGAAATTTAAAAAACATACCTCTCAAAATAACTTGTTTTTATCAACGAGTCTCAACAAAGTAATCCTAGCACATGAGCTAACTCTGTAATTACGACAGAAGAATCTTCACACAATAAAATCCTGTATGAGATTGGCTCTTATCAGAGTATATGCTATAAATCCACAGCCCTGACAAGCACGGGGCTTCACTGGAACACTTCTAGGGTGCAGTCTGAGATAGTCAGGCTTGGCAAAATTTCACCATCACAAACAGTTGCCTTTCTATATCTTTTCTGTCAAAGAGAATATCTATTGAACTGTTCCGGATCCTATATCCACTCGCATCAGTATCAGTGAAAACATTCTGATAAAAAAAAAAAATCTTTTTATCAAATATTCAAAATTACCTAACAAACTTTAGTCAACCAACTATTAACCTTTCATTCTATTTTAAAACTCATTCAGCTAACAATAAAGGTAAAAGGTTACAGATGTGGATTTTATTGACAGATTTCTGTTATCAAAGAATGCTGATGCAAAACATGCATTAAGGGTCAATTCGATTGACAAAAAAGTCCTTACCATAATTTCACTTGTGTGTTATATGTCTCTTGCACAAAATTAAGCTCAACTTTAACTAACGATTCCACAATTACAAGTACAATTGTAATCAAGATCTGGAATAAAACCTACTCCTGATAAAGATAAGAACACATTCCTGATCAGCTCAGACCAAAATACAAACTGAAATTTTCCTTTGTACCTCATTAAGAAGCAACATCTATCTGAAGGAAGCATGAGAAGGAAATTGATTCTGATTGACAACCTCTGAGCTAGCAGAGGTTGATATCCTCTAACCAAAGTGATGATAAGGTCAAGGATGAAAAGTTCCAAGATAACGTTCCACAGTCTAGTTACTGCATGCACACCATGCTGTTACCATGGCTTCTCTGCAAAAATTCTCATGTGTTTAGGTAATACCTAAACTTGTGATTTTTCTGTATATAAAGCAAGTATTTTTCTTCATCACTTTTAAATATGAGTGAATAAAAACAGTTTCCATAACCCCTGTAATCATAATGACTGCAGTACAGTATATGTGTAAAAAGAAGCGCAACAAGATACTGGAAATTAATCATATATTCCTCAGAATATAATGCATAGACTACATTGATACATAGATTCATTCTGACTAGTAGTTATGTAGAATTTGATGAAGGAATACAAAGTTTATTACAAGCAAAATGATGATTAAAGTTACAATGTATGCACAATTACTGCCATTCAAGTCATTTAATGAATTCCATTATCATCAGTTGGCACTTGTTTATTTTCTCCAGTGTCTAACATCAACCTGTTTTGTCACCTTTCCCTTTCCTAAATCACATTGTTTAATTACCCAGCTCACTGATTACAGAGATTGGGTTGGTCCTGTAATCACTAGTGTAGCTGAAACCAAACACATCATCAGCATTCTCTATTGTTTTATAATATACTGTTATTGTCCAATCCCAATCTTATACGATAACATGTACTGCAGTCAAGCTGATAAGAGAACACTGATGCGAGGACTTTATTGGGTATTTTTTTGTAAATCATAACCATTCTCCTGGGTGTTTTTGAGATTTTTCCCTGTGATCAATGTTGTATTATAAAAACTTACGACCTATTTATCTGTACTTGATTGTCTGGCTAGGAAATATTACCTGGCATAGCAAGCCAACACAAGTACACATAGAACTATAAATCACACCATAAACTATGTGTGGACATGCACTTGTAGTGGAGGTACTGCTGGTCACACTTCCTAGGATCCTATACCAGAGCTCTACAAACCAGCTCAATTATACCCAGTTACCTTTATTCTTTTCATCTAGTCATCACTTATCTGCTAATATGCTTACCACTGTCACCACTAACCTGCTAACCACTGTCACCACTAATCTGCTTACCAATCACCACTAATCTGCTAACCAGTCACCACTAATCTGCTAACCACTGTCACCACTAACCTGCTAACCACTGTCACCACTAACCTGCTAACCACTGTCACCACTAATCTGCTAACCAATGTCACCACTAACCTGCTAACCACTGTCATCACTTATATGCTAGCCACAGTCGACACTTATCTGCTAATCACTGTCATCACTAACCTGCAAACCACTGTCACCAATAATCTGCTAATCACTGTCACCACTAACCTGCTAACCACTGTCACCTCTAATCTGCTAACCACTGTCACCACTAATCTGCTAGTCACTGTCAACACTAACCTGCTAACCACTGTCACCACTAACCTGCTAACCACTGTCCCCACTAACCTGCTAACCACTGTCACCACTAATCTGCTAGCCACTGTCACCACTAACCTGCTAATCCTGTCACCACTAGTCTGCTAACCACTGCCATCACTAATCTGCTAACCACTGTCACCACTAACCTGCTAACCACTGTCCCCACTAACCTGCTAACCACTGTCATCCCTTATATGCTAGCCACAGTCGACACTTATCTGCTAATCACTGTCATCACTAACCTGCTAATCACTGTCACCACT